CATGAAAGTTTTCAAAGACACTCTGCAGTTTGACAACAAACCATCAACAGGTTCTTTTTTTAGAAAACCTGTTCACCCAGTGTTATACCTAGTTTTCCTAGTTCATGAACTACACTGGTTTAAAATATTTTACTCCTGAGTAATCTACATTGACAGTTTCTCAGTCTCTCCTTAGAGGCTTACAGTTTCACTTTTATCTTCTTGTGTTCAGGAGTTATCTCCAAAAATTTAATTACGCTAACTATTTAGCCTGATTCTTCAATCTTTTTGCTCTTTATTTTCAAGACAGACCCTACCTATGTCTTTTTCCAGTCTTCTGGTGCCTCACTCAGTCCCCAGGTGCTGTCTCTGATAATGGACTCATCCAGGCATTGCAGTCTATTTGCTAAGCTGACAGAGACAAGGCCCATTAGACTTAGCTCACATGAAAATATTTTTCTCAGCTAGCTATACCCAGGAGTTTCCCTTCCTCAGGTAAAGGGTGCTATCAAGATACCATGTTAGCTATAAGCTCTTGACAGCTTTGGCTGGACAGCACCTTCCCTATCGCAAATGGTGGTTAAGAGAGACCTGCTTAGGGGACAAAACAAGGATTTTTGATTTAACATTTAGATTAATAACCACAGCCTTGAGTGATGGGCTTCTGTCAGCCCTGAAGAGGACAGACACCTTGGCAGGGAGAAAGGGAGGAGGCATTTCTCTACACTGAAAACTTAACTAGGACAAAGGGATAAAGGGAACCATAGCTACTTGCACATCGGAGTAAAATACAGCAAGTAGTTTCACCCCCAGGAGGAGAAGAAACAGGCAAAGCATAAAAAACTTAATCTTAAAGCTTTTTAAACAAATTGACATCCTAAAAACCAAAGGAAGACACTGCAAGGTTTGAATCCTTAAATAGACTTTACTCTGCAATTATTTTGTCTATTGTTTGATGAGTATAAAAAAAAAAAAAAGTTGCCATTTGAGAGAGACCACAACTAATTTCAATCTCAATTTTTCAGGTTAGCTGAAGAGTGAAACAATCAATTGTTTGCAAAACTCCTGTCCTGGAGCCTTTGAAAATTACCCTCTAGAGACAACCATTACGGGAGTTATGGTGCAGAACAACATCATGGAAGTTTAAATCAGAACTGACTGAGTTTCAGGTCATTTAAGAAGGTGCCATCAGAGCTCATTTTTAAATAGGCCTAAAAGCAGTTTCTGAAGCAGCAATGAATACAGATTGGCCTGCCCTGCACCTTTGCACCTGGCACCATTAAATAATAACCTCTAGTGCTCTTCATGCTGACAGCATCAAATGACAGTTTTCCTGTTGTAGGTGACATGTCTAAGATCAATTGTTGTATGACTGTGCTTCCAGAAAAGATAACTTTTACCTTTATTCACTATATTTCCATTCATGGACACCAGGATGTAATAGGAAATTCTTAGGCAATTCAATTTTTCCTTGTACTTGAAGTTCTCTGGTTCTTGGAACAGTTCTGAGTTTATCCATTGGAGATCTCAGTAAATGGCTTGTTGCTTCCTTTAGACCTTGACTAATAAGAATAGATTACACAAGTGATGAGTGAAAAGGTTAAGTCTTTTTTTTCCCAGTAATCAGTGGATTAATTCATCTCTGAATACCACTGCTGTTTGTGTAGTTCACAGAGTTTATTAGTTATTAGCTTATTGGTATCACAAAGTCTTGGAGACCGGGTTATAAGCTTCACTCAGGTTCAGTCTGGTAAAGAATTCATGCCTCGCTCCTGGAGCATCTTCAGGTGCTGGCCATTCAATGCCTTCAGCTGCCTCAGCTGCAATCAGCCCACACACTGCAGAAACCACACCTTGACCATCCATGGAGCTGGTCTGTACAACAGCTGTCTTAACCATTTATTTTTCATCCTAACAGCAGAATGGAAAAAATAATCTCTGAGTGTGTGTATGTGCACACATAAACTCAAACCTTCCTGGAGTTTGAAGTGAAATCTAAGAGAAAAAGTTGTAAGCTGTGTGTTGTATTCTGACAAGAATTTTATTCAAAGCAGTGTAAAAGGACAGGGACAGGATGTCCCAGGGATGGGACAGGAGTTCTCTTCACAATACTATAGAAGAGAGGAACCCCCTACTCAGTTAATGATGAGATCACCTCTTCAGAGTGTGAAGGACCTAAGTTTGGGTCCTTTCTCACATGCTTTGACAGCACACAATGGCTCCCAGACCCCAGAGAGGTGCCTGATCTCTGTCCTCAGCATCAGCTAACACAGCACTTCCAATCTCTGGTTTGGGGTTGGTTTTGGGTTGTTTTTGTAAGCAGATCTTAAATAGTCACTGAAATAGCATTGAAAGCTAGAATCAGTCACAGAGGTTGGTTTCATTAGGGTATCTTTCTATTCAGTGGACTTTCTGTGTAGGGAACAGGTACCTTGTTTTGATTTTAGTTCAGTATCAAAAGCGAGAGGTACTGCCAAAGCGATTCCCACGTGAGGTCTGTGCTTTTGAAATCAATCCCCTTTGACCTAGAAATGTGCCAGTTTTGGTATTACACAAAGCCTGATCACCCTGGCTGCTTTCCCTCAGGTTTGCTTAGAAGTGCACTGGATATACCTATTATTAATAGAAGGAAAACGTCACTGGGATTTTGGATGTTTTAATGTTTCTTGGAAATCACATGAAAGTAAAAGGAAGCAAACATTATAATGTCTCTGTAGCAGAAATATTGCATACAGACAGTGGGGAAAAATGTTCTGCATCTTGCTCCTTGGAGTAATGTTTCTTCTCTCCTCAGTAATAAAGAATGAAAAATTAATAGTTCACTTGTGGGTGCCCAGCACCTTCCCTTTGCAGGCACCCTGAGTAGTCAGGAACATTTCTTTTAAAGCTTTATCAGACAACTGCTTTTGAGGGGCAGATTCTTAATGCAGAAAGATCCTTCTGGGGTTTGCTTCTATTAATTTTACATGAGGTATTTTTGCTAGCCAGAATTAGATAGCTCTACTTATTTATGAATAACCCATGAAGGAATGCATGAGTCAGTATGAGACACTTTCCCAGTTCCTGGTGCTGGCTATTCACAAATCAAGAATGGTATCTGTGCAGAACAATCACCAACAGAGATATTTCTGTGGTATGCTTGGATTAACTTACAATGAATTATCTTCCCAGATATATGAGTTGCTTTCCCTGAAGCATGTTTCTCCCATCCTTCCCCTATGGGGAATAAATCATTATTATGGTGGAGTTTTTTAGCTGTGCACTTTGCATGGCCTCAGTCTTCTTCTACTCTTTTGTTAAACGGCTCTAATAGTTGTTACCAAAAAAAGAAAACAACTGGTAGAGGTTGTGATGGGGGAAAGGCAAAGCAGTAATAATAAAATTCTTGCCACTCAAGTTTTCTTGCTCAGCCAGCCCTGCCTGATGTAAGGCACAGGCTGTTCAGCAGTCCTTCTACATGGTACCATTTAATCAATTCTAGAAATTGGCACAATGGATTAAGACTACCCAGAACAGTGAATTACAACACAGAGTAATTCACTGCTGGATTTTGGTCTCATCTGCAGGTGTGCCATAGGGAAATCAAGCACACTGAAATGTGGGAGATTGGGCATGAACATTCTTGGAAATTTTAACCACACCATGTAAGCACTTGTCCAAATAACATCGTCTTTCTCTGGCACCGAGGAGTTGAGAAAGTCTGGGTAGTATTTTCACTCTGTCCCCTGAAGAAGGAACACATCATCCCTTAGAGAGAGACAGTAATTTCAGTATGCTGTAACCATCTCAGAATCTCAAGAAGAAAATTTGTTTTGGATGTGTTTGCTGAAGCACACTGGCACCCTGCTCAGCCATCAGGCTGTTCATTTTGTGTACAAGTGGTATATAGCCCACAGCAATAAAGATCCTAAAGTACAAGCATCTATATCTTACTTAGGTTAAATTTTTCACAGTATAATGCAGAAGGAGAATGCTGACTTTTAAGTTACCAGAAGCTTTCCACAACTGGTATAACATCAGGTGAAATTAGAAAGCAGAGTAAACACATTCAGAGTATGTGTATGGGCCCTGAAATGCATCCAGAGTAAATCAGTGGATGTAGGCAGTAAAACACGACAATGATTTGTTTTGAATTGACATTTAAATTACAAAGCAGTTATTGTAATTATTAGCAAGTCTAGTTTTTAAAGCACATTTTGTTAACTCGTGGATATAACCATTAAAACAATGGGTACAGGCTTAACTGAATTTACCAGGATCACTATCACAATTTGTGTCCAGAAAAATTCTATTTTCCCTAATTAGTAAGATACAGTTCATTAATATGGCTACTTTGTATGTGCAACTATGGGAGGTGTGAATTCCCTAAGCAAATACTTCAGCTCTCACTCAGCACTCCTGTAAGGATGTCTGCTTTCAAAAATTTTGGCTTAGTATTTCTGCAGTATGTATTCCGAGCACACTTAGTTACTTGGAATACATGGAATTTGCACTGATCCCCTGGATCAATATGAAACTTGTACACAGCCAAGAGCAAACACTGATCATTCAAGAGATTCAGTGGTTGTGCTCATGGCAGTGAGTCCTCATGAGAGATGAGTGAAGATTCTAAGAATTAAGATCTTTAAGATTTCAAACAACAAAATAAGGCTCAAGCCCGTTTGTCCTTTGGGGGAAGGGGTGAGACAGTGTTCACCCTGCATAATGAAAAGGGCTTAGCTCAGGCTCAGAAGTTTATACAAACAAAACTGAAATCCCTTCTGTCAGAATAACAAGTAAAAGCCTAGCTATTATGTGTACAGAAGAATTACTAAGCAAGTTTTTGAATGCTCTAGTTATTTTGTTTGCTTAGCAATATTATGCACTCTAGTCTCCTCCTGGAATTGAAATTCAGCTTTTCCTTTCTCATTTTGAAACAGTCCATTTGTTTTTTTCAGATGTGCTCCCTTTTCAGAATGTGATGCAAGTCCAATAGATACACGAGCCAGCACCAGACAACCTGATTCCAGGAAATAATTAGATTTATTTTTAACAGACCATGTATCCACTTAAATAATACAACAGCAAAAGTCCTAATAGTCTAGGCAAGAGAATCATAAAATCCTGAATAACTTGGATTGTGAGGGAGCTGGGGAGGTATTTCTAATAGAAAATCAACTCTGTGTTTGCATCAAGTTGCTCAGAACCTTCTCTTTTCAATTACTGACTATCCCCAAGGATGGAGATGCTACTAATAGCATTCATGTGGCTCCTGTATCAGATTGTTCATATGGAGTGATTCTCATAACCGAACCAATTCTCACTTCACAAACCATATAGTCACATTTACAATCAAAAAACAGTTGGAAGAATATTAACGTTCTAGTTGAAGCAGATTTCCTGGATTTTTAAGAGCAGAGGGGCAGCTGTGATCACATAGTCCAAATTCCTGAGTAACATAAGCTGGAAGGTTGCCTTCAGACAGGCTGAAGTAGTGCTCAGGCACTCATATATTATTGCCCTTCTGTGAAACTCTGAGATCACTCATGCAGCAACCTTTATAGCGTCAATCACAAAGGACAGTTTTAGCACCGATGTTCCACCTGCACAATCTTCTACTCATTTGTGGAGACCCCTTCATTTCTCTCTATCAGGCAAGGGAGCTTCAAGGGTTCTCTATCTCCGCAATTATTTCAGGTTGAATTTTAGCCCCTGTGAATTGGTTCTGAAGTTGTTAATCAAACTCAGTTTCAGCAAGAAGATTGTGTACACAGTTAAAGGCTGTGAGATTGGCCTCTTTGTACTGCAACTGTAATTCAGGAAGGAGAATCAGGCTGTGTCTGCATTTTAATGAGCTAAAAGACAGGAATTTCCAAATCTCAGCAGGTGCTGCTATCAGGAAGATTTTCAGAGAAGATCTAATCCTTTCTAGTTGCTGGGTAGCTGAAGTAAGGAGCCTGTTAACGTCTTATTTTATCTCCTGCTGTGTTGAAAGATGTAGCTTTCTTCTCAGACAACATTTTTGTCTCCACATGGGCTGAAACACATCTGCCATGGATCATGTAGTGATGAGGCACCTTTTTTCTCTTCCAGAGTGCTGGTTTGCTGTCAGGGTACACGAGAGGCATGAGCTGCTGCTTCATGACTGTACAGCTGTGCTGCCCTCGCATGGCTCAAGGCATCAGTTCTGTGCCTGCCTTGGGGACATGGGCCAGGTACACTTTTGTTCAGCTTCACCTCCTGCCAGGCCTGCAGCACCCCTGCACTGTTTTTGCAAAAGCAGTTGACTGCAAACAAATAAAGATCAACCTTTGCCTCTTCTGCATGTTGGGTCGTTTGCTCTCTTCTGTCCTTGGTTTTATTTGTGGGTTTCTAGTGAGGCATTTGGAGTCATGGTTAGCAAGGGCTCTGGATTTTCAGTGTAATCCAAACTTAAATTTCAATGATTCTGAAGTATTTAGCTGCCTTGCGTACCTCTGTCTTCTAGTTTCTGGTTGATGACTCTTGCTGAAAAGGCAGAAATCATAAACTTTAACTGGTGTGTATTTCTCTTTAACATAGCATCATAGAATCATAGAAAAATCTGAAATGGAAGGTATTGGAATAAATCAGCCAAGACTCCATTTTCTTCATGCAGAAAATCCCAATCTTTATTGTATAGGTCATATTTTATAGGGTTATCAGAAGGCACCGCATCATATTTTATTGGTTGACAATACCTTTGCACTTGGTTTATTGGTTGATACAGGGTATTTTGCATATCTATCAAACTTCTGTAATTTTAGTTAGTTTACATACTTTTTCTACTGCTTCTCATGGGACAAATCTTATTGTTTACACAGGTGCACTTATTTTTCTCCCCAAGTATAGATTGCTGTGTTAACGAGCTCTCATTCTCAAAATAGCTTCACATGGGAACTTGTAATTGCTTAGCTGCACTTAGAAAAAGTGACAGGACAGTTTTGGCAATTTAGCAGAGGCCTGATTTCACAAGGCCTTTCTTTTATAATTCTTCTACCTATCTAGGACAGGAAGGGAACTTTAAAAGTCATCTAGTACAGCACCCTACAGTGAGTAGGATATTTTCCTCTAGATAAGGTTTCTCAGAGCTCAGTCCAGCCTCATCTTGAATGTTTCCAGGGATGGGACATCCACATCTCTTTGAGTAATCCATGCCAGTGTTTCACCACTCTCATTGTAAACCAAATTTCCTCCATATACCCTCTTTCAGTTTAAAATTATTACCCCTTGTCCTATTTCAATAGGCACTACCAAAGTTTGGCCCCATCTTTCTTATAGGCCCTCTTTAAGTATTGAAATGCTGCAACAAACTCACCCCAGAGCTTTCTCTTCTCCAGACTGAACAAGCCTAACTCTCTCAGCCTCTTTGCAGGAAAGGTGCTCCAGCACTCCAGTATGTTCATAGAATAGTTCAGGCACAAAGGGACCTTTAAAAGAAAGGCTTTATTTCTGCACTATGCTTGGTACTGGTCTAACACCTCTCCTCACAAAGTTTCCATTTTCACACCACTCATGATGCTCAAATGCCACTTTGGGCTTTCCCTCGCCCTGCCAGGAACAAGCTGAGTTAGGACAACATGCTGCAGTCCCATCATTGCAGTCCCGTGCTGCTGGGCTGCTTGAGGAAAGCAGCTGCTTAGCGCTATCCTGTGCAGTGTTCACATGTCCTGCTTTGGAATGATTTATCCGATGTATTGCCATTGTTTCCTAATGGCACATCTTCCTAAAATAGGTTTCTAGTTCAAATCTAATGAGCACATGCTCTTCTATTCTGTGCAAGTCCTTCTTTTTTTTTTTTTCCCTTCTGTGCCAGATGGAAGTTTGCAGCTACTGTGGGGTCAATCACAGTTACAATGCTACATGTTTCCAGCTCATTACACTAATTAAGGATTTGTAATATGGCACAAAATAACTTCAGAGGAGGACAAAGAGACTCCCACTTGAAGAAGATCACAAGATATTTATTTTCTTTCCATCTGTGCTTGGGACAGGGTTGGGGATGTGTGCCGGTTAAATTGAGGGTATCCAGGGACAAAACAAAATTGATTGACATCCCATTCTTCTTGCCTTGCATCAGAAGCAGAAGAAAGATCTGGAAGAAAGTAGAAGAAAGAAGGAAGTTTGGTCAGGTCCTTCTTCACAGCTCTGTTCTGGCTTACCCAGAGGCTGATGCAGGAACAATTACTGCCTGCCCTGCTGCGTGCCAGGCAGTCTCACATCCTGCTGAGTGATGTCATCTTTAAAGAACAACTCAGATGTATCATGCAAAGACACTTCTTGAACAAGGAGCAAAAAAATATTTGCAGTCAGCTTTGCCTATAGAACAAGAAAACAAACCCCCTTGTTACTGCAAGGTGAGACTTTTTGTGAGATGATTTTGCGTGCCTCTCCAAAAACTGTATCAAAGTGCCTTGTGGAAAGTTTCTCACTCCAGGGAAGAAGAATTAATAATGTTTCTCTCATGTATAAATATTTAATTACTGACATGCCAGCACCAGATAAATGTTAAAACTATGACAAATATATCAGGAAATAAAAACATTGTTTTTTAAAGAATGTGTTTTAAAAGGCTATTTTCTTAATATGTTATAGCTCAATCTGGAAGTCTGTGATTCACCTGCCAATACTACATTTTTCCATGTACAATCAGTGTTACAGACAACAACAAAGCTGTGGCATTCAGTTTTGGTGAAGCTGCATGAAAGAAATTGGCTAGGAGACAGGCTCCTGTTTGATGCCTTCATTAGGATTCAGCTCTTGGGGTGGAGGGGCCTGAGGAGCTGCTTGCACCACAGCTATTCCCACACTGGCATCTCCAAGGAGGAGGCACAATTCAGCTTTGCAGCACACTGTCATTCTGGCTTGCTGTCTAGGGTGGTCTGTCCAGTCCTCTTAGGTCACGGTGATGCAGGAAGATGGTTTCTAAGCAGGCTTAGGTGATGCAGGAAGATGATCTTTCATCATAGCTTGCTAGAATATGTTTCTTTGTCCTTTTATTCTTTTGTTAGCTCGTTGTTTTGGTGTATTGCATGCCTTAGTTTGCATATTACTGGGTTGCACAGCCCCCTGGGAGTTGCTTGGTTCCAGTTGGCACAGCTCCCATGGGAGTTACTTTGTTCTGTGGCATAGCTCCTTAAGGGGTTGCTTTGTTACAGTATGGCAGGGAAGTCAGGGAAAGGGATAGAGGAATGTCTCATAAGAACTCTTAAAACACTTCAAAAACTGGTAAGTAATTAACATTACTAATAACCATCGGAGTAAACAAGGGGTACAAGGTTTACAAATGGGATAAGAACATTAACTGTACATAACTAAACGCAGTATTTTAACCAGGGTGGATTTCTTAAGAGATTTTATTCTGACTCTGCACAGGCAGAAGTTCTGCAGAACGCATCCACACCCTAGGCCTGCAAAACTGGTTGGGAATCTCAGGAAAGTGAACTTGCACATAAAATTCAGGCTGTTGTCTTCCTGAGAAGCACAGTATGTTTGCTGAGTTTGCTCAAGATGCCCCATAATACACAGAAGCTACAAGTTGAATTATTTAAAGTATTTTATCATCTCAGAAGGAGTTCTCTTTGGGCAAGGGATTAAAGAGTTGTTATTTGCATAAGGAACTTGTCTATTAAGAGTTTATGAGCCATAAAATATTTTGGTTTGTTAATCATTACTGCCAGCTTAATGATCAAACTTACCTTACACTCTGAAAACTACATTTACGTTCTTGCTGCAATGCTTTTCTTACTGTAAAACATAACTCTGACTGAAGACAACATTACAAGCCTCATTTCTGCAATTTTTTTCAAATGCCTGCCTAATCTACAGCATCCTCTTCAGCATCCTGTGAATTTTCTCTATATTTTTCTGAATCAGGACAAAATCAAAACTTAGCACTACACAGCATCCATTGACAAATCTTTTGGAGTGCTACAGGAGGCACAGGGAAGGTTTGTCAGGCTGAGCTGTTGCCATCCTCATTTCAGATATGCGATATTCAGTCTGTCCTAGAATGCATTTAGGAATAAAAATGAAGAATTTTGGGAGGCCCTAGGACAAGACCCACACAACCAGATTATCCCAGATATGAGAACTTTGAGCAGTTCTACATATCTCAGAAACAAACTTCATCATCTTCAGAGCAACAAAGTGGCTCATTAACTACAGATGATCTTGGAACATTATAAAGTGTAATAGGCAAGATTTTCAAAATTGGATATTTCCTTGTCAGCCGCTGAGCATAGATTTGATGTTTATAAAAATTATTTCCCTTTCAAAGGTACCTGAAACCCTGTGGAGCTGATGAAAATCACTCAGTTTTAGGAAAGATAGTTTATATTTCTAATATGATTTTCCTGGAATATTATTTCTCCCAAGTGAGCTTCAAATTCCTGCATTTTTGTAAGATCAATAGAAACAAAAAAAATTTTCATCCTGTGGGGAATTCAGATATTAAGGTAATTGCATTTATTTTTCTCTTAGTGTGCTGTCTCCATATAGTTTTCTTTGTGAAAACACAATTATTTCAAGCCAGTATCAGCTATATGTCCATTTTAAACTATAGTTTAAAACTATATAAACTTGACTAAACTATAGTTAAGAAGACTTTAGTTCAGATATCTTAGTCTCTCATTCTTCCTAAAAGTTTAGAGTAATTTTTAAACTAGATCTCCAGTGAGGTTCGATGGTCAAATAATTAGTACAAAATATTTGGTCTTGGTGGAATAGCCCAGCCAAGAAGAAAAAGCAGCAAATGACTTGGAGAACATGGAAGAATTTGGTCTATTATTTTGGTTAGTCACCACAAGATCTCATATAAACACACAGAAATATTCAATTCATCATGTGTATGGATTTGGAGTGGCCTTCCAAAAAAAATCCTTTTTTCTTTTTCTTCTTTTTTAATTCACACATAAAATGTAAACTCAATCAACAACAGCTAAATTTTGGTATAAAATGTCTATGTTTTAAAAAAATCACTTTCCATTAAATAAAAGAGTTGGACAGCTCCTGAATATCACTCTTCTTTACTGTAAGAAAAAAGGTGAAATTGTACATCCTCATGAGGCAGACCAGCCAGAGGCAGATGCTGCATTTGGAAACATAACACTTACCTCACTGAAAGAGAGGTGAGACCTTGGTTTAAATTTATTTTTCTTATGGTTCAAACAAATCTAGCATGCTCCTTACCCAAACTTTAGGAAAACTTGTATGAATTTCTGAAATTTAATACTGAAGGTGAGATGACCTAATTACTCTTTTATAATAACAAAAGGCTTTTACAAATGCAAGATGACATTAAACTGTCTTTTTTATTAGACCCTGTCAACTCAAAGCTGAGTGCAGTGGTAGTTACAAAGAACAAAGGAGTCTTTGCTGGTTGCTATTTTATAATGTGGCTTTTTGAGGAGGAAGGTTTTTGGGTGACATTTTTCTTGAGCTGCACTGCAGTTAGAAACAGCTTTTAAGCTTTATACATGTCTTTTCAA